TGGAGAGTTATCGAAACGAAGTTATCGGGAGAAAATTTTTTGGCAGCAATTTAACGCCTACGGAATAACCATATTTAAAAAATAAATCGTATCGCGAAACGCTATCAATCCTAGTAAAAATTGCTCGACTAATCAATATAGCATAATCAATGCTCCTCATGCGTCTATTCAGTTACACGAATAACCTGTCCATGAATTAGCCGCACATTTTCACGGTTTCGGGTGAAAATCATTTCCGCGAGAATTTCGAACGGATTCGGTCGTTGCTATGAATATTTATTGCCCACCTGGGATAGAATTTGAAATATAATATAAAATTGACTTTTTTCTTTTTTTACATCGTTATTCTATACCAAACTATTTCAAACTTCAATTTCATCCCCCATGTATGATTTTAACGACTTGCTTTAATTTTACTCTCGCGCCATCATTCTCTCTCTCTCTCTCTTCTCTCTCTCTCTCTCCCTAATTCGAAAACGATTAATTACACGTTCAAACTTTCGAAATTTACTTTGCAATTTACCTTTCCAACTCGAAAAACGCAAAGCCTATTACGAATAATTAAACACGCTCGTTTAACGAGCAAACTCGAGCAAGATAATCAATAGCCGATTGTTCCTTATTACCGTTAAGCCGAGGAAAGTAACGTTATTACAAGCATAATAGAGCGAAAGTGGGGTTAAACCGTTATCGTTAAAATTATGCGAAACTTGCATCTGGCAGGTACCTGCTTTGTTGCGTGCCAAGGCGGATGCGGAGGCGACACCGTCGGTCATCGGACCTGAGCTCACGGGGACGGGGTCAGAGTTTCTCGTTAATAAGCTCGAGAAGATACGACTCGAGGCGGGGGCAACGGATGCACATGTCGATCCTAGGAAACGATACCAGGGCCGGTGTCCCGATCAAGGAACAGGAAACGACCATTAGCCTGACCGGATGTCCGAACGGAGTGGAGGACGGATTGAGAAGCCATCGAAACTCGACCACGGAGCAACCGATCAATCGTGAATGCTAAAGGACCGAATGAATGATTCAGCTACCAATCCGATCCCTGTGTTCGAACCAGACTTTTTCGGTTAAACGTTTCGCGTTTCTATCTCTCCGTAATTGTATTCGAGCGTGTTGAAGATGCGTCGAAGAGTTGTGTATCCCCCCTCAAAAAGGGATAACACGTTTTGCAAACGGATAATCGAGAATGAGGACAATTCGCTAGACACAGAGGGAGAAGATTTTAGATTAAACGTGCATCTCGTCCGTTCGTCGTCCAATTTTTATCCTTTCGTCTTTCTCGAGATGCACGAACATCGAGAAATTGTTATTAAACGGAAGGAAAAGTAATCTTGTGTGAATTGCGTCGATATGGTTCGCGGGAACAAAGACTGCGACAAATATGTACATTTAGAGCGCACCGATTTTTGTGAATAAAATTCAGATATGTAAATCCCACGTCTCCCCTTCTTCCCCTTCTTCGTGTCTCTAAATTCTTCTTTATCATTCTTCCTTATTTTCTCCTTCAAGGAGACGAGAGGAACGAAACGAATGGAAATAGAAGACGAGATAAAAATGGCGCCGCTAATCCCAATACTTAAAATCCCAATACGCTGTCCAATTCTTCGCACGGATATCATCTGATCGTTTCTCATCTGATCCACGATTTAATAAATCTCATCGGTTCACCCCTCTTCTCCCCCAAAAGAAAATCCTCCTCTTGTTGCCGCCGTTGGGCAGAGCGTCGTTTAAAAGCTCGATACAAATGCAACTTCAGGCCGTCGATCACCGAGCGTCGAGTCCTCTTCGAACAGCGTCGAATCCTTTTTCCTTTCTGCGTGTTTCGTCGGGGAAAAACTCGAGGGCTCGAAATTCGCCTCGTCGATCTTCCAACTTTCCAACGGGAAGAAATGTCTGCCGGGCATGTATTCAAACGACTACGATGACGGTACTCTTATGAATTCCTATATTAGATGGAGTAAAAGGTACAACGTCACCCCTCTCCCATTCTTCATCGCTTCTTTTTTGTTTCTCCCGGCCGCACCTGTGCATCGGTTCATCACGTTCGACCGCGAAATTGAGACACGGCCACGATTCGATTTCACGAATTCGTTCTGTGCAGACTGGCCAGACTTCATCAACGTACACTCCGGATTTATCAGGAGAACGAATACATGCATCACGACGACCAAGGTCCGTACACAGAATTGAACTAATCCCGATACGTACGACGGCTATAACTAGGTTAAAGTACGATTCAAGCACGATACTCGTTACTTCGTTACTTATTTCGTTACACGTTCCCTTGATCGGTCCATTGTTGGGGCTGGTTCAAACTCTGCATTCCCTCCCTTGATTCGTCGTGTTTAAACTGCATTTCCACTTTTCATTATTATTCACCAAATGCGGGATTCGGTATGTAAATTAAATCTATTTCGTTTCACGGGAATTATTTTTTTTTTTTTGATTGGAAATCAATATCGCTCGTTAAATTTTCCTCGTGTTGTCAAATTTATCATCTAATTTATCATCTTTCTTACATTGATCTTAATCTGTAATAATTGAAAGAGATACACGAGGCAAGTAAAAAAAAAATTTCGTTCGTGGAAAATTCAAATTTCGTTGATATTGCTTTATTGCTTTTTAAAATTAAAATATCAGAGAATAACTCGTGTAGGAATAACTCCGTTCCATCGTATCGGCGAGAAATATATTTCGAAATGAAACGAGAGGAAATCCGTTTTGGATTGCGTTGCTTGCATCGGCCTGTGACGACTATTTCTTAATATAAAGAAACATTTAAGTAACTGTTTAATCTTGGAGCAGACAAACGATCTCGACAGAGAGCGAGGAGGTGAAAGCTGACGAGGAAGCCTGCTGGAAATGCAGAGGGGAAGACGTGGATGGGAACTCAGTTTCGTTCCCTCATATCCAAGATCTTTGTCCCGCCGATAGGAAGAGGATAGCTCTACTGGTCAAACAATTGATTAAGTAAATTCCCTCTGCAATTTATATCGCCATTCAATTTACGTTCAATTAATCGTTATTATATTTCAATACTGATGCTCATTTCTATCGGATCTATAGGTAATTAATTTTCTTTATAAAATTTTAACCGTATTTTATCGGATAATATATAATTGGACAATCATATAAATCAAATTAGGGATTGTATTTTCGAAACATATTGTATGTATATTTAAAACAAAATCGTTAATTATTGACACTTTAAATTCATTTAAACACATTTCGAATTTGAAGAAAATTTTTATAAGTTATATTAATTTTTGTGAAACGTAATTGATAAGTGTTTATACTATGCATCCTATTTATTACGAATACAGAAAAGTTTAACGAAAAGTAATAACGTTCATCGTTCTGGAAATATATCGATGTATAAAATAGTTAACACGTTAAATTGTCAAAATTTCGATGAAATTTCTTTCGTGCTTATATTTTAACTCGTAATCCGTAACCGTAAACACGAAAACTTAATAGACACTTATTAACTCAAACTGTCAAGCTGAAACCTCGAAGAAACAACACTCCACATGCATCAACCTAATACATCAATATTTCTTCGCCCGGTATTACTCCAAGTTTAAATAAACATTTATCGTCACGAGGAAATAAATTTCTATTATAGCTTCCTCCCAACCACTTTATCATCCCCCTTTTCCTATTTCTTCCTCCCTGTCCCGTACATTTCTCTCCGTCATCGATCCCAAGGATACATCCACACCTCGAATAAATTTCACCGCGCGTGATCGCTTCCAACTGTTACTAATATACCCACGCGATGAAATATTTGTCACGGAAACCGATTACAACGGGAGGCGGCCATTAAAAGTTTTAGACCGTGCGATTCCTCGAGTCGAAGCCAGTCCGCTGTGGGGAACCGTATTCCTCTGAGGCCCCCCAACGGATCAATCGAGATTTTTCTTCTCCAAGATCCGCATATCCGAACGCAAGTCAGACGCTCGATCTTAATTAAGATAATGGCGATCGCATGCCCCGGCAGCGTTTCCTCCTCCGCTCGAAAATACCAGTTTCGAATCGCGTAATTAAAGAGCGATTTAAACGCTGTAAGGGAACGTGTTAAGAGAATTCGCACGCGCGTTCGAACTCGTGATTCTATTAAAAAAAGAAAGAAAGAAAAAAAATAAATAAAGATTGGAGAAAGGGAGCGAATTTTTCCTTTTTCGTATCTCATTTCGTGAATTAAATCGACCGCACGACGATTTTCGCGTATAAAGCATAAATTTTCGTGATTCCCCTCGATATTTCAACGATATTTCCTGCCGGGAAACAGCTGATGGAACGTTGTTTTTCGCGCAGATGCACCAAGGAGATGCGGGACGCGAAATCGGAGCTGGCGGTGAGCGAATCGGAAAAGGAAGCAATGAGGAATCAGTACAAGAAATCCCTGGACCGTCGTGAAACCGAGAAGAAACAATTAGAATTTCAAGTAATTCCTTCACGCTCGATTAAACTGTGACCGTTCCTCCACCTCTTCGTCTATTTTATTCTTACAATTAAAAAAAAAAAAAAAGAAGAAAAAAGGCGCGATAAGATCGAAGTTTAAAACTTCTAGAAGTTAAAAAATCGAGGGATCGAATGGGAAAAGAAAGATAAAGGGAAGTAGATTATGATAAATTGTTTCAGGAAAAATTTTATAATCCACTTTGATAATAACGGCTGATAAATATCCAGACATATGGTTGGATCGTAGAAATAGAATTTTAAACACGGATCTTGATTGAATAACTTTAAATCGGAATCGTCCTTGTTATGTAAACTTTGTGAATCTATTGACTGTTTATAGACATAATAGAGATACAAATAATTGGAGAAGTTTTGCAAAACGATCCCGTTCTTCAACTTAAAATATCGAAACGTCGAATAGGAGTGCGGAATATAGTTTTAAATGAAAGTTCGATCTATTGGGCCAATAGTGTACAAAGTTCTTAGATTGTTATCGATTGATTCAAATTCGTTTTCGAGTTATAATTTCAATGAAAATTGAACGAGAATAACGCTTATTCGCGAAAGAATGCTTACTGATATTTTACGAGATAAATGAAACGTAGTAGAAGAATTTCGTCCGATATCACGTTTCATGATATTTTATTAGCTGGAACAGGCTCGAGTCGAGGCGAAGGAGTTAAAGATTCGGATTTCACATATCTTGGAGTTGTTGACACGGCAAATCGCCACTCAGGAAAAACAATTCCTCGAACTTACGCAAACCGTGAGGAATCTGGTGAGTGAGAAATCCCGACTGCAGAATGCTCTGGACGAGAAGCAGTCAGAAACCAATGCACTCGAGGGTAAATTTCAAAGAACAAAGGAACTACTCGAGGAGGTGAAATTAGAAAGGAGCAAGGATACCATGAGGAAGGCTCATCAAGCTTGTCAAACCGATGAGTTCGAGATAACTACGTAAGGAAACACTACACCGAACCGAACCGAAACTAAAACCGAATTGAATGATAGTAGATGTGCGATTAAATTGGAAAATTTGATGATAAGTTTTAATTATCCTTTTTTTTTTTTCTAAAGAGAAATTATTTATTATAGAAATTAGTTTGACGATATTATTTATTATAGAAGAAAAAAATTAGGCGGGTTAAGTTTTGTGCATTCATTTTAATTATATATTATAGGACTAATTTGGAGGAATTCGATAAAGAATCGATCTCGTATCAGATACAAAATGTACGGATCAAGGGTAAAAACGATCTGGACGAGCCTTCTACCGAGGGGACGTTATTGAGAGAATTATTCTTTAGGAAACCGAGCCTCGAGGAAAGCGAAAGCTTGGATATTATTCCAGTTCTGTCAGAGACAGACTTGCAAACTAAACATAGTACCAACACTATGCTTTTTTCTTGATATGTTATTTGAACGTGCACTTTTTGTTTAAAAATTTTAATAAAAGTTTCAATTGTCATAAAAAATTTATTTCCCAAGTAAAAATATAAATTATAAATAAAGTGCGTGTATATTTTTTTTCTACATTTAAATTTTTTAAGACAGACGAGATATATAATAGATCTAATGTTTAATTGTCTTTTCTTGTTCTCGGAAAGAATCCACAGTTTCCTTATCATTTGTCATCCTCAATTACCAGTGTAGAATACCATTGGTGGTTAAAATTGTTGATTAAATTTTGATGTGCAATCATAAATGAAATATATGATGGAATATTTTATAATTTAAACATTTTATTAATGTCTTAAATTTATCTTAAATTTGTTTAAAATACAAAACCAAATTTAGAATTATTCTAACATAAAAATCAGACAGAAAAGAAATTCAATAAAAATGATTGTATTAAAATAATGTAAAGTTTTTGTCCTAGAATGAGAATTTTAAAATTATTATAAAATGTTTTGATAACTAAAAGAATTTAAAAGTGTACATTAAAATATCAAAAAATGTGTAAATTATTATATATTGATTATTATAAATCTACTTATAGTTATCTTGTAATTATCATTCGAAAAATAAGATTTAAAATATTCTAACGCATTATAAATTGAGAAATTAATACTATGAAACGATAAATTTAATTATAGTTTGTAAAAATATATATTAATTAATACATATAATATTGTAATGAATTGTTATTAAATTCATAAATTAACAATAAAAATTGTAAAAATTAATAAATTATTAATCATTATGGTCTTAGAATTGTTTTTCACATATTCGGTAAAGTGCGTATAATGTCGTCGATCTTCGGTTATTATCATTACTTATAAATACAACATAGGTCGCGACGACAATTCATTTGTTAACGAACCTTCGTGATAGATAGATCGAAATTATAACACTTTAACTTTAACTTTTTTATATTAGATCGAACATTTGTTCGAACTTACGCAAACCGTGAGGAATCTGGTGAGTGAGAAATCCCGACTGCAGAATGCTCTGGACGAGAAGCAGTCAGAAACCAATGCACTCGAGGGTAAATTTCAAAGAACAAAGGAACTACTCGAGGAGGTGAAATTAGAAAGGAGCAAGGATACCATGAGGAAGGCTCATCAAGCTTGTCAAACCGATGAGTTCGAGATAACTACGTAAGGAAACACTACACCGAACCGAACCGAAACTAAAACCGAATTGAATGATAGTAGATGTGCGATTAAATTGGAAAATTTGATGATAAGTTTTAATTATTCCTTTTTTTTCTAAAGAGAAATTATTTATTATAGAAATTAGTTTGACGATATTATTTATTATAGAAGAAAAAATTAGGCGGGTTAAGTTTTGTGCATTCATTTTAATTATATATTATAGGACTAATTTGGAGGAATTCGATAAAGAATCGATCTCGTATCAGATACAAAATGTACGGATCAAGGGTAAAAACGATCTGGACGAGCCTTCTACCGAGGGGACGTTATTGAGAGAATTATTCTTTAGGAAACCGAGCCTCGAGGAAAGCGAAAGCTTGGATATTATTCCAGTTCTGTCAGAGACAGACTTGCAAACTAAACATAGTACCAACACTATGCTTTTTTCTTGATATGTTATTTGAACGTGCACTTTTTGTTTAAAAATTTTAATAAAAGTTTCAATTGTCATAAAAAATTTATTTCCCAAGTAAAAATATAAATTATAAATAAAGTGCGTGTATATTTTTTTTCTACATTTAAATTTTTTAAGACAGACGAGATATATAATAGATCTAATGTTTAATTGTCTTTTCTTGTTCTCGGAAAGAATCCACAGTTTCCTTATCATTTGTCATCCTCAATTACCAGTGTAGAATACCATTGGTGGTTAAAATTGTTGATTAAATTTTGATGTGCAATCATAAATGAAATATATGATGGAATATTTTATAATTTAAACATTTTATTAATGTCTTAAATTTATCTTAAATTTGTTTAAAATACAAAACCAAATTTAGAATTATTCTAACATAAAAATCAGACAGAAAAGAAATTCAATAAAAATGATTGTATTAAAATAATGTAAAGTTTTTGTCCTAGAATGAGAATTTTAAAATTATTATAAAATGTTTTGATAACTAAAAGAATTTAAAAGTGTACATTAAAATATCAAAAAATGTGTAAATTATTATATATTGATTATTATAAATCTACTTATAGTTATCTTGTAATTATCATTCGAAAAATAAGATTTAAAATATTCTAACGCATTATAAATTGAGAAATTAATACTATGAAACGATAAATTTAATTATAGTTTGTAAAAATATATATTAATTAATACATATAATATTGTAATGAATTGTTATTAAATTCATAAATTAACAATAAAAATTGTAAAAATTAATAAATTATTAATCATTATGGTCTTAGAATTGTTTTTCACATATTCGGTAAAGTGCGTATAATGTCGTCGATCTTCGGTTATTATCATTACTTATAAATACAACATAGGTCGCGACGACAATTCATTTGTTAACGAACCTTCGTGATAGATAGATCGAAATTATAACACTTTAACTTTAACTTTTTTATATTAGATCGAACATTTGTTAATCTTTTATTTTTTATCATTTATTTTAAATTGTACATTATTTATTCGTTTTATTTTTTAATTTTCATTTATTTATTCATTTACACATTATTTTATTTAAATTTATTATTCAATCGTTTTTTGATTTTTTTAGATCTTCAATTGTTTTTTTATTGAAAGATTCATTGATTTATTTAATCAATAATATATTTATTTATTAATTCAATTTTATTAATTTCTTCTTTTTAAATCTTTCAATGCTTCATTTATTTCTACATTTATTTGTCGCGAAAAATTTTTAGATGCATATATTGAAAATAAAAATTGAAAAATTGATAAATTTTTGATCATTAAGTCCTTTTGTGGCTACTTTACAATTATTTTTTTATATAAAATAACAATTAAAATATTTTAATACAGTTACAAATCGAAAATTAATACTATAGATTTGTAAAATCACATTAATTTTTGGAAAAAACATATTTATTATTACATATAATATTGTAAAATATTGTTAAATCCATAAATTAACAATAAAAAATGTAAAAATTGATAAATTATTAACAATTCTGGTCTTAGAATTGTTTTTCACATATTCGGTAAAGTGCGTATAATGTCGTCGATCTTCGGTTATTATCATTTCTTATAAATATAACATAGGTCGCGACGACAATTCATTTGTTAACGAACCTTCGTGATAGATAGATCGAAATTATAACACTTTAACTTTAACTTTTTTATATTAGATCGAACATTTTTTAATCTTTTACTTTTTTATCATTTATTTTAAATTGTACATTATTTATTCGTTTTATTTTTTAATTTTCATTTATTTATTCATTTACACATTATTTTATTTAAATTTATTATTCAATCGTTTTTTGATTTTTTTAAATCTTCAATTATTTTTTTATTGAAAGATTCATTGATTTATTTAATCAATAATATATTTATTTATTAATTCAATTTTATTAATTTCTTCTTTTTAAATCTTTCAATGCTTCATTTATTTCTACATTTATTTGTCGCGAAAAATTTTTAGATGCATATATTGAAAATAAAAATTGAAAAATTGATAAATTTTTTATTATCAAGTTTATTTGTGATTTTTTTCCAACTATTTTATATGTAAAATAATAATTAAAATATTTTAATTTAGTTATAAATCGAAAAATAATACTATAAAACAATAAATTTAATTATAGTTTGTAAAAATATATATTTATTATTACATATAATATTGTAAAATATTGTTAAATCCATAAATTAACAATAAAAAATGTAAAAATTGATAAATTATTAACAATTCTGGTCTTAGAATTGTTTTTCACATATTCGGTAAAGTGCGTATAATGTCGTCGATCTTCGGTTATTATCATTTCTTATAAATATAACATAGGTCGCGACGACAATTCATTTGTTAACGAACCTTCGTGATAGATAGATCGAAATTATAACACTTTAACTTTAACTTTTTTATATTGGATTGAATAATTTTTAATCTTTTACTTTTTTATCATTCATTTTAAATTGTACATTATTTATTTGTTTTATTTTTTAATTTTCATTTATTTATTCGGTTTTTATTTCAAAATTATTTTTTGATTTATTTATTCCTTTATATATTTATACAATTAATTAATCCTTTATTTATTTATTTACCATATTTTTTTAATTATACATTTTAAAAATTTAAAAATTTATTTTTTAATTATTTTTATTTATTTCATTTTTCATTTATTTAAAAATATTTTAATTTATACTTTTAATTATTTATACATTTATTTGTTTCTTTATTTATTTATTTATGTATCTATTAATTCATTTTTTATTGTTATAAGATATTATAAGTATTCTTTAATTTTTTCTTTTTTTTATTTTTTGTATTATATTCTTTATATTATGTGGGTCTCGATGTAGTCACCTCCTCGTTGGTGAGACCTGGTAATTGGCATCGGTTTTCATTTTATGTTATTTGATTAAAAATACATTAAAAAAATTATATTCCAAATTATATATTACATTTTTAAAAAAGATTATAAAAACATTAAAAACATTAGTTTTTGAAAACCGATGCCAAGCTGAGAACTACATTAACAAGAAAAAGAAGGGAAAATATCAAAGTAATATTTTACTTCTTTTTCTATCTTATCTCTCCCTATTAACGTAATTTTTCTTTCAGCAAATTTTTGTGATCGCGCGCAATGCGGTCAGTAGAGTCAGTGTTTGCTTCGTAACAGCTTAATTAAATCCTTTAATGGATAACGCGAAATTAGAATCAGTACTTGTTCGTCGATTGTAATTAGATGGTCGCATTATAATAGTTTTAATGTTGTGTTTTTTAAATATTTCGTTTCGGGTATATATATTAGAGTCAATGCTTTTCTCAAGAGGACAAGACGACATCCACATCCCCCTACACGATGATGGCCTTCACGATGATGACTTCTTCGCATCTAATGGTAAGTCGCATGCTTTTGTATTCTTCCAGTCACTCATGTCGTAGGACGAAAAGTCTGAATCGACATGTGTGACTGATTATATTATACGTAGATTTTTTTTTAACGAGCATAGTGACCACAGATATTTACTATATCTATATAAATAGTAATTATCTGTGTTTTATTTAGTTCAGACTAGGTTTTCTTGCACATCGCGTTTTTTAATATTAATAGTAATAAAAATCTTTTCTCCATTTTTAGTCTTTTTTTATATCTGTTATTTCATAATCAATTTATCTAACAAATGTTTGAAAAATAAAGTTTTTCGTTCAAGTTTATTTTATGTGCAAGAAAACATTTCGCGACAGATAGATTTCAAAACAACAAATTTTAAATACTTTCATGTTTTCGAAAATATGTTTTGATGAAGAAATCGCCTGAGGTTATTTCTAGTAATATTTAGATTCTTCTACTGCATTTTTCATTCATTTTTATTATCAATTTTTTATCCTTTTAATAGTTCATTAAATAAATAAAATATTAAATTAGATAAAATCATAATTTTTTTTTAATTATAGCGCGTTAGATACGAAACAAATATATTTTTTAATTCAGAATTTTTAATTTTATGTCCATTGCCACGATCTCACTTACATGCCAAAATATTATTTGGATGAGAGAAAGGCAATGGGCATGATAATTATAATTTATAATTTTTACCAGTGACTGACAATGCGTTAATGATCGTGCATGTTGTCGAATTGTGTTATGATTTTCTCTTACAATTTATAATATAGCAATATTATATTTTATATAAAAATTTTTCTTAGCATAAGTACTGATAATTAAAATTGAGATACGATTTTTATCGCGATTTACGCAATGATCATTAACCATCGTCAATCAATTTCAGGAGAAAGGTATGTAATTAATTAAAGTGTGAAAGTAATTTGCTAAATTTTGTAACATCTTTATTTTGTCACTATGCTCGTTTTAGAGTATGTAGTAGTATTAGTAGTAGTAGTAATAATAGTTATATTTGGCCGATATACATTTCGGCCAACACAATCATCATGGGCAAATCGTGATTTTTATAATTAATATTGCGACAAATAAATTACGGTTTGCATTAGAGTTGCGAAAAATAATAATGTTAGTGTTGCGTTTTTACGAGATATCGCGACTTTCTTTAATAATTTTGATCATGGTAATATATAATTTTTAAAAAATTTAATATTAAAAATTCATATATTTTGTTTTTAATTCGAGTTTTAAACAGATATTAGTTTTCAATTTATTAAATTTATTTTAAGAGTTAGTGTTGCGTTAAAAATATGATCGAGTTTTTAAAAGTAGTGTTGCGTTAAATACAATCGCGTTTTTCGAAAGTAGCGTTGCGTTTATAAAATGCCCATGAATCTTCCACTAATATTGTGGAAATGATCCTATTTTTGGATCACCAAATGCAGTTATAGGAGCTGCAAGTAGGTGATTCTTTCAGCATCTCCTGACTACTTTTTCTTTTCCAGCGTCCCTAAATGTTGAACCATTAATAAAAATATTGTTAAAAAGTTTGCTTATGTGAATTTATTATTTTTTTTAATTCTCGTAGCATCGCTTAAAATCATTATAGTTATAAGAATATTAATTTATTTGTTGTGCGTATAATGTTATTTTAATCTATTATATTCTTCTATTATAAATTTTTTATTATTTATATTTCACATTATGTTTTTTATAAATGGGTCTCGATGCGTAGTCACCTCCTCGTGGGTGAGACCCGGTAATTGGCATCGCTTTTCAAATTTTTTTTCAAAATTTTTTAAAAAAATATCTTACAAATATTTTATTAGTAGTTTTCGAAAAGCGATGGTAAGCCAAGAACTAC